TGTTGCAAGGGACTCGCGAAACAAAGTGTTTAGTTTGAACACAAAATGTCGCCGCATAGTGTGTTTCAGAAGGGAACCTCAGGGGGGGGACCCCGCCCCCCTGGGATAGTGCAAATTCATTTTTGGGATGGACATGTGGTCAGGATCAGTTATGAGTTACATACCCGATAGGGGGACCGATAACGCCGGGGGGTGGGGGGTAGAGTCCTAGTCTTTTCTTTCTTTCTTTTAGAAAGGAGAATTCACCTTGCCGAAGTTGGATTTGTCGACCCCACTGCTCGCGCAATCATCTCACCCACCCACCCACCCGCAACTTGGTATGCACAAACCCATGCGGAAACGATTGCGATGTGTGCTTGGCGTTGGCTGGTGCATCTCTGCGGCCGCACTGACCCAAGCGCGCGCAGTGGCAAGCTAGTTTGTCGCTGGCGCGGCCGACGCTGCCGCGGTGGCGCTGACCGCTCGGCACGCCCCAGCGGGCATTTCAGTGTGCGTCGGCGGTTTGGGCGGGCGCGGTATCATGGCAACGCCGACAACGGAAACACGAAGATGACTGTAGCGATGCCGGCGACGATGCTGACAGCGACGACGGGGCAGCCAGTGACGGCGCCGATGCTACACGCCGACGACGATGACGGCGTCCTCGCGTCGGTGATGAAGATGTTGGAAGGAGTTTGACATGCGCGTGCGGCTGACGCGCGGGAGCGGCCCGCATGGTATTATTTAACGCGGACCGTGCCACCCAACACGCGCGCAAGGGCGTTCGAACGATTTCGACATGCGCGCGGCTACCTTGCACCGTGTTTGACCACCTCCACTGCTCGCGCATCATTCCACCCACCCGCCCGCAACTTGGCTCACAAAACCCATGCGGTGGCGATTGCGATGACTGCTTGACGTTGGCTGGTTCATTTCTGCGGCCGCGCCAGCCCAAGCACGCGCGCGCAGCGGCAATCTAGTTTGGCGCGAACGGCGCTGCCGCGGTGGCGCTGGCCGCTCGGCACATCCCAGCGGGCATTTCAGTGCGCGTCGGCGACTTGGGCGGGCGCGGTATCATGGCAACGTCGACAACGGTAAACACGATGATGCACGATGATTCGTGTAGCGGTGCTGGTGGCGACGTTGACAACGACGACGGCGCGGCCAGTGCGGGTGCCGATGCGAATCGCGCCGACGACGATGACGGCGTCCTCGCGTCGGTGAGTTCGACATGCGCGCGCGGCCGACGCGCGAGAGTGGCCCGCATGGTGTTATTTGACACAGATCGTCCCCCCTCCACACACGCGAACAGGGGCGTGCGAATGATGTCGGCATGCAGCGCCAGATGCCCCATTAGCAGAATTCGATGGACAGGTTGATGAACAAATGGTTTTCTTAAGAGCTCACAAGAGCGCGAGCGCACGCTGTTTTGAAAATTGAATTTGCGAAACCATGTGTTTTCATTTGTTTTGGGGCATTCGGTTTTGAAATTCCTACGAAACCGAAGATGTTTGACGGATTTCGGCATGCGTGCGCATGGACATCGTCCCGTGTTTTGCACAGGGTTTTCGCGACGTCACGCGCGCAAGGGCGTCCGAACGAGTTCGACATGCTCGCGCGAAGCCCGTTTGGTAGCATTATCCGGGAATTTTGAACAGTTGTTTTTTCTTGGGAATTCGCAAGAGCGCGCGCGAAAGCTTGTTTTGAAGATCCGTGTTGCGAAACCATGTGGTTTCTTTGTTCCCCCGACACTCAATTTTGCAATCCTTGCGAAACACATGGTTGTTGCAGGATTTCGGCATGCGCGCGCGACGACGCGCGCGAGTGCACTCCGTCCATGTCTTGTGGAAGGAATATTGGAAACCGCTGGTTTGTGATAAATTAGTGCGCGCGCAAAGTAGTTTGTTGCAGAGGATGTCGGGGCGGGGACGGTACCGTTTGGGCCGGGATGGTACGAGTTCGTATATCGGATGGACGATGGGGCAGAATCATGTAAATTGCAATACGAAAAGAGGTGCCGAGAATCCCGGGGGCCTGCGGGGGTAGTTTTTAACATAAAATGAAGAATACATCTGGTGCAATGTATGTGGTGCAACCTCTGTGGTGCAATACATGTTTGCGACGGGTGCCAACGCAATGCAAAGTAATGCAAAGCAAAGCAAAGCAAAGCAAAGCACAGCAACACAATGCAAAGCTATGACGAGCAACGTCAAGCCTTGCAATGTAAAGCAATACGACGCAATACAACGCAATGCAACGCAATGCAGCGCAATGCAACGCATTCGAAGCATTGCCTAACAATGCAAGTCAACGCAGCGCAAAGCAACACAGAAGAAGCCACAGCAATGAAATGCAATGCTGGCCAACGCAAAACAATACAAAGCAACGCAAACACAAAGCAAGGTAAAGCTATGAAAACCAGTGCGAAGTAACACAAAGCAATGCCACTTCACGCAGTCCAAGACGGCGACGCGGCGGCGACGGCGACTACATAGCCGCCAGACCGACGGGCAGGCCCGGAAGACGGGCGGCGACGAGGCGGCGACGTGGCGGCGACGGCGACCACATAGCCGCCAGACCGACGGACAGGCCCAGTCAGAAAAAAAGAAAGAACCCCTCAGTGCAAGCATTGCATTCGGAAAATGGAATTTTCAACGGTATCATCGGTTCCCCAATTCGTAAAGCAATGATCTTCCATTACCCGGGTTTCTGGCCGAGGCGGCCAAGTCCCGAGCGCCCCAGATGAGCCCACGACGGCCCCAGATGGTCCCAAGGCGGCCCCCACAGGGCTTCATAAGGCCCCAGGGGAGCCCGAATATCGTTGTCTGGGGCCAGCAACAATACGACCTCAGCGTTCCAAGCCCTGCGGCACCGCAGAGGAGATTCTAGAAGCGGTCGTAGGTTTGGATCTACGGGGGGCATGGAGCTGGCAGCAGTGCTGCCATTCGGGGTACGGCCTTGGGGAGGCATGCGGCGCCGTTGCGTTGCCAGCCAGAGCAGTGCTACTGGTTTGCTGACTAGTGAGAGCCGCCGAACTGGTGGAGTCAGGACGGGGCCGGAAGGAGGTGTCGGAACGCCAGGCGCGCAGAGACTGGGTGGAGGGGTGGCGGGGTGGGGGGAAGGGAAGTGGGGGCGGGAAGGGAAGGGGGGGAAGGTGGAGGGAGGGGGGGAGGGGGAAGGGGCGGGGGAGGAGAGGTTGAGGGAGGGTGGAGGGGGATGTGGATGGGGAGGTGGAGGAGGGGATGTGGAGGGGGAGGTGGAGGAGGGGGTAAGAGGGGTGTGGAGGGCGGGGGGATGGTCTGGACGAAGGGAGGGGGGGGGCCAGATTCCAGGTGAGAGGGTCGGGAGAGGGAGAGGGGTGCGGGAGGAGAGTTTCCAAGCCGGGCTGTGTCGTTCCCGATCCCAGTCCCGTGACGTGGCCAGCAGAGGGGAAATGACGTCGTTTTTGCTTGTTATCGTTGTTCTTATCGTGTTCATCGTCGCCCCAAACGACCCGCGCCCTGGCTGCAGGCACGCTGACGGTGATGTGGGCATTGGCGATGCAGGTTTCGGCATTGTGAGACCGCGTGGTTCGTGCTTTCCTACAATTCGCTGTGTCGTCTTCGCGCGACACATTCGCAACATTGGACATGTAGGAAAGTGTAGAATTCTAATTTCTTGCTGTTTGGTTCCCAACATCACCGTTAAGCAACATCGCCGTCAGCGTGGCCTTGGCCTGACCCACTCGCGACCAGCCCGCGCCGAGACCCAGCCACGACCCACCTGCGGCGTTGCTTCAACCAAATCGGCGCCTTCGGCGGGCCGACCATTTTCAAGCAAGAGTAGCGCGCCAGCGACGGACTGCTGTGAATGGACCCTGGCGAGCACAGCGAGTGGGGCGCAGCTGATGTCGGCGGCGAGCCTGGACGAGAGGGGGAGCTTCGGGCTCGAGGTTCGAGATTTTCGTTGGTTCTCGCCGGTTCTCCAGCCTCGGGGTGCTTGCCAGCAGCTGCGCCTCCGACAGGCGTTCCAGGGGTGCCCAGATCGTCCCGAACGAGACCCCAGTTGTGACCCAAAAAACCAAACTCGGCGGCGAACGAGGGGGGGGAGTGAAAAGGAGAAGGCCGTCTCAGAAGGCCGCGGGGCTTCTCAGAAGCCCTCGCGCCTTCTGTGAAGTTTTCTGTGTCCTCGGGGAAGGCTGCGGAAACTTTCAGAAGGTTGGGGGACTTCCGAGCCTTCCTGAGAAGGCCCGCCCCTTGTCACGTCCCCCCTGGGCTTGCCGCCGACTGGTGCCCCCTCACTCTCATCCGCAGGTGCGTGAGGCAAAGTTCTTCGAGTGGCTTACGTCATTCCGCCGACCCCCAGAAGGAGTCAGAGCCTGCGACGGTCGTTGGAGTTAGCTTTCTCGTGGCCTTCGATCCGCAAGTGCGTGAGGCCAGGCTTCGGAAACTGGAGCGTATACGTTACCAGTGGCGGGCCGTGTTTCAGTCCCCGGATTTTTGCAGGGTCCAGGACGACGTCGGGGTGGCGTGGTGTATCGTTTTACCCCGCTTTCCCGAGGAAGCAACGAAACATGTATACACCAAGATCCCGCATACACCAGAATCCGCTTTCCTGTGCGAGTTTCAGTGCAGGGCTGGAAACAGCGTCGGTGTATAGAGCTCGGTTTCCTAAGGTTATGCTGCGCGTCTGGCTGTTACTCCCCCTGCTGCTGAGGGCAGTTCTGCGTCACAGGGCTGGAACCCGCGGCCTGCTTTCCCTCCTCCTCCTCCTCCTCCTCCTCCTCCTCCTCCTCCTCCTCCTCCTCCTCTCACCCCCTCCTCCTCCTCCTCCTCCTCCTCCTTCTCCTCCTCCTCCTCTCACCCCCTCCTCCTCCTCCTCCTCCTCCTTTTCCTCCTCCTCCTCCTCCTCCTCCTCCTCCCCTATTTCCATGTGTATCGTCTGCCCACCACGAGAGTAAGGCCCCTTCGGTCCGCTTTGTTCGGCAGACTCGCGCTCGTTAGCTCGTGCTTCCTTGCAGGCCCTCGCCTTGCCCCTCGGAGGTACTCGTCGATGGCGGCAGCCGCGTCGAAGATGAGGACATGACGTGGCCCCACCTCTGACGCTTCAACTCCTCCTCCTCCTCTTTCTCCTCCTCCTGCACTCTCACTCTCTCCACCTCCCGTTCCTCTCCAGTGCTGGGGGATCCGCCTCCTCATCTTTTTTCTTTAGAGTGTTCTGTTCCTGCGTTGCCACCTGGCCGGCCGGTCGGGGCCACATCCGGGAGGGTCAGTCATATTTCGAAGGCGCTACACGAAATCAATCTCACCATGGGCTTTTTGGTGAAAATGCAAATTGTCGTTTTCCCTTCGGTCATACTCCTGCTCCCTCCTACCCCCCCCACCCCCACTGCCCCGACGTGTTCAGGGGCGGCCTGACCGATCCCTCGCAAACCATCCCCCTCCGTCACGTCCCTCTCGCCTCACTCCAAGACGTGCATATGCGGCCGGAGGGAGATTTGTAGGGCGCGGGGGACGTCACGGAAGGTGCTCGTCACGGAAAGGGTCGGTTAGGCCGCGCCCCATCCACGCGGCGGGTTCCAGAAAGGGCTTCGTTTTCGAAGATCGAGAGAGTTGAGTTGCCATGTCTTCCCTAGCTGAAGGTGGCGGAAGGTCGGCGGAAGCCCGCGGAAGTCAGACGACGGCGGTGCCGTCGGCGGCAGGCGGCGGCAGACCGGCGGAAGTTGGCGGAAGTAGAGATCTGCCTCCGAAGAGACGGCAAGAGGCGGCCAGGAGCCGCTGCGTGGTGCCAGGAGCCAGCGCCAACAGTCGTCATGGCACGAGGCCAGCCGTGGCCCTCCTCTGCTGTCGCGAGCGGCGGTCTGGACTCTGTGGCGCGATCTTGTGGATGCGCGGCCGCACGGATATACGTTCCGCGCGGGGCACCCGCGGCAACAGCGCTCCGTAGCCAGGGGGGCGCGGCCCTGCGGCCCGAGCTGCGAGGCCGTCGATACGGATGTGCCTCCCGCCCCCGATGGACGGCAGGTTTGCGCCGCATCCTCGCCTGCGCTGGCGTCTGAAACCGCGTGCAATGGAGGATGACGGTTAATAGATGACCGGGGGTCGTGTTTACGCGGCGGCGCCCGGGATGACGACTAGAAAAAACCGGCCGCGGGCTGGAAGACTATTTTTTATCGTTCTCCTCCAGTCAGAAAGTTGTGCATAAATAGCAGAAAACGATTTGTTGAATCGTTCTCTCCCATTTTTTTTACTAATCGTCATCCCGCATTGTCTTTCACCCGTCGAGCGCCCTCCCTCCTGCCCCCCTGCCCCGCTGCCGCTTCCTCCTCCCCCCTTTCCCCGCTCTCGCCGCCAGACAGTCAGCGATGCCGACCCCCGGCTTGCCCGAGCGCGCGTGCGGACTGCCTCTGCCGCGCTGCGGCGTAAAATCGAAGGAGAAAAAACGCCACAAACAAAAACTTTGAGCGCTCCTCGCGGATTTCGTGGATCGACGCCTGGGCCCCCCTGGGGTCGTCTCCGGCGCGCTCCGCGCGCCAAGGAGGGGGGTCCAGCGCGGATCCAGGAAATCCGCGCGGAGCGCCAAAAGGTTATGTGTATGCAGTTTGGTGATCGTTTTCTTATTCATTGTTTTGCCGATCGGCGCGGGCCCTCGCACCCCTCCCCCCATGGAGTGGATCTTGGCTGCTTTGGGCGCCTGTGTGAGGCAGGTGGAGTCTCCCCGACAGGACGCACTGTTTCAAACAGTCGCGCTAAGTATCAGGAGGGAAGGAAACCCACAGACACAATGAATCGTCCATCCCCCAGAAAAAATGGGGTAATATGGGAAGTGGGGGGGAAGACAAGACCCAAGAAACTATAGGAAAATATTGGGAATCCTGTGATTTGTGTCTATCTGTTTGTGCGTCCCAGGGCCCCGTCAAAGTAGAGGTCCAGAGCCAGACCCTCCCTCCTCCCCCCCCTTCCGCCCAATGCCGAAACGCCGCCGTAAGAGAATGCTCACTGTTTACCAGCCTGGAACATATCCCTGTCCCTATGCTGGGCATCTCCTCATCACGATGCCAATCTTAGGGGTTCCCTCATCTTTTGAGGGCGCATCCCCAAGATTGTCCTCGCCTTCTGGCGTGTCAATATCCTAGGGATAGGGATATAAGCGCGAGGCTGGTAAACTGCTTCGTGCTTCGAGGGGCTCTGCGAGCCTCACTGAACCCCACCCTCCCCCTCAGAAGCCGTGGGGGGGTAGGGGTAGGGTTCGCGTGTGGCCCCCTATAAGTAGAGGTCCAGAGCCAGACCCTCCCTCCTCCCCCCCCCCCTTCCGCTTACTGCCGAAACGCCGCGTAAGAAAACGCTCACTGCTTCGTGCCTCGAGGGGGGTCCGAGAGCATCTCTGCCCCCGCGCGGCGAGGCGCTCTTCACCGGGCCGCCCCGCGCGCGGGCGGCCGCCCGGCCTCCGAGCGCGCGCCGCGCCGCTGGGGGCGCGCCGCGCGGCGCGGCGCGCCGCCCGCCCGCGCGCGCGCGGGCGCGTCGCAAAGGGCCGGGCCGGGCGCGGATCGACGATCGGCGGCGGCCTCCCCAGACCTCCTGCGGTAATGTTTTTTTTCATGCGGATGGTTTGTAATGATTTATTCGCCTCGTAATGGTTTTGTTGTTTCACGTTTTGCTGTAATGATTTTTGTTTTTGTATCCAACCATGCGCAAACGTACATACATGCAGCCTTAAGTACAGGTGTATACATATATATATATATATATATAAATGCGAAGATATACATATGCATATGTCGATGTATGTAATATTATATACATACGAGCGGCGGAAAAAACGGGGACGTCTGCGCCGCCATTGGCGCGTATAAGCTGACCGCGTAAAGGTCACGCGTAAGTGCCCTCGTTTCCAATGTGGCGCGTCGCGCAGGCGGTCCGCGCGATATGCCATCTCGCGTATAAGACCCGTTTTTTATCGTCGTTCGGGGTGGGGTGTGGCCTCCTCCTCCTCCTGTCGTCCCCCCACTCCCTCCTTCCCCTCGCCGAGCTCTAGCTCTGCGGTGGCTCCTCGGCTACAGCCACGCACCACCCAAAATCATGTAGCCAGATTTGCTTTTTAAGACGCTTATGTGAAGCTGTCCCAGATTTCTCAAATAATCGTTCTCTTGATCATAACTTTGTTTGGTCGGCCACCACGTCCCGCCACCGTGCTGGGTTGTGGGCCTGGGTTTATTGTTATATGCATGCTGGCGTCCCCCAGGATGTCTCCTAGGGGCTCCTCTGATTGGTATTTGCGAAGCGTTCGCCATCAATAGAGTTCGGAACCTATGGAAATCCCGCGGAGGAAAACAAACTGGCCCAAGAGGCCATCTTGCAGGTGAGCGCCGCTTGCACACAGTTCAATAGTTTGTCCGCAGGGTCTGGTCGCTGCTGATCCTCCCTCACCCGTCCTCTCTCACCCCTTGCCGTCTTGCAGGTGATGCGCAGCAGAAGAAACGACGCCTGATCTCCCCCTCTTCGCGCATATCGCCCCACAGTCCCGCTCCCCGTTCCCGCTTATTGCCTGGCATCATCGCTTACTCGTGTTTCCGCCTTTTCCGTTCCCCGCTTTACCGCCCTTCTTCCTGCATAGTTCGTCTCCTCACTCCACTCCACTCCCTCTCTCTCCTCCATCTGCCCCCTCGCCTCTTCCCTTCCGAGAGGTCAAAGGGTGCGCCAATATGGCCTTCACATGTTTTGATTTCCTCCGCACCCTTTGGCATGTATCGTTTACGAACTCTGGGATCTTCATTTGTTACGATGATTTCGCTATTCGGCGTGCCTTGGTGAGGAGGACATGGATGATCTATGGAGGCCCCAAGATGACCCCAAGACGCCAGCGATACCTTTCCATTTGTGGCCTGGCGCCCAAGCTAGCTGGAACTGGTGCGCTCGCGATGCTAGAATCTATGTGTGCATATGTGTGTTTTTACTTGCACATGTACATACACACATGTGTATACATATATTTATGTATACACACACACCTGTATATCGGTATCTGTATCGGGCCGCCGGCGGCCGTTCGGGACGATCAGGACACCTCACGAACGCAGTCGGTGATGAAAGAACAGCGCGCGCTCAAACCTAGAGGGAGGTGGGATCGGGAAGTGCAAGGCGATGATGGCGTCATGGGTATGGGTGCGAGGGACCCCGAGCCCAATCCGGCAACACATACACACCCATGGCCTGCCAGGAATTCCATCCCGAGAAATCTTGGGGTCGCAGAGGTCTGGATGCCGGTTGCCAGCTCGTGGCTCGGCGAGGCACAGTTGTTGACAAAAAGCGCTCCGAGGTTGGAAAGGCTCGGGGGAACCTCAGGAGAGAAAACACAGACACAAATTATCGTCGATGCACAGGGAATCTGGAAAATCTGGGAGTCAGAGAGGAAGACGGACATCCAGAAAAGATGAAGAGTTGGGAAACCTGGGATTTGTGTGTCTATTCCCTTGTGTGTGCCTGGGCCCCTCCCGAAAGAAAAAGAAGCAGCCCGAGACTGGAAAGCCTCCCGGGGGGGGGGAACAGGCCTCCCGAGGGCTGGGACACCCGCAGGGCACTGGCGTGCGCGCCAGACGGCGTGTAAGCTTCCCCCCCCCCTGATGGGAGCGCCGCCGGTTGCGGTGCCCCTCCCCGCGGGGCGGGTGGGCTTCTTTGTCTTCCATCTCATCGCCTTCGCCCCTTCCACCGGCCCACACCACGCTGGTCTACAGTGAGCGGCTTGGATAAGGAACACTTACTTTTCAAAAGGGGCTCGGTCGTTCCTTAGGTTTGCATGCGTTATTTACAGTTCCTTATGCGTTATTTGTTATTTGTCGTTCCTTATGCGTTATTCCTTGGGATAAGGGGCTTCGTTCATTATGTATCGTTCCTTAGGTCAGGCCGATGACTGTACTTCACAAGCGCCTTCCTACCTCAAGAGCCGACGCGTCGTGGGGCGGGCCCAGACCCCTCCATCTCCTCCGCCGTCCTATTGCGAAGGCCTGACGGCCGGTGCCGCCGACCCTGTTCGCAATGCGCAGCAAGAGGCACGGGCTGTGGGATGGTTTTGGGGAACGGGGAGAAGGA